CCAAACAGACCAGATCAAAATAGAACTACTCCACGACATATCATCATTAAAACAACAAGTTCAGAAACTAAGGAAAGAATATTGAAGGCTGTAAGAGAGAAAAAACAAGTAACATACAAAGGTAAACCCATCAAAATCACAGCAGACTTCTCAACAGAAACATTAAAAGCAAGAAGAGCGTGGGGTGAGATCTTCCGGGCATCATTCAAAATAGATGGAGCAATAAAAGTCTTCCATGATAAGCAGAAACTAAAACAATATGTGACCACAAAGCCACCATTACAAAAGATTCTGCAAGGGATCCTGCACACAGAAAGTGACACCCAACTTAACCATGAAAAGGCAGGCAGCACCAAACCACAGGATAAGAAAAAGCAAGACAGTAGAGAGTAACATCAAGTTAGGTACACACAATCAAACCTTCAAATAACTAAGACAACTAAATGGCAGGAATCACCACATACCTATCAGTACTAACACTTAATGTTAATGGACTTAATTCACCCATCAAAAGACACCGTTTGACAAAATGGATTAAAAAAGAAGATCCAACAATTTGTTGCTTACAGGAGACTCATCTCACCGACAGAAATAAGCATATGCTTAGGATGAAAGGCTGGAAGAAGATTTACCAAGCCAATGGCCCCCGAAAACAAGCAGGAGTAGCAATACTTATCTCTGACAAAGTAGACTTCAAACCTACATTGATCAAAGAGATAAAGAAGGACATTCCATACTAATAAAAGGGGAAATAGACCAAAAGGAAATAATAATCATCAATCTGTACGCACCCAATGTCAACGCACCCAATTTCATCAAACATACCCTGAAAGACCTAAAAGCATATATAAACGCCAACACAGTGGTTGTGGGAGACTTTAACACTCCATTATCATCAATAGATAGGTCATCCAAACAAAAACTCAATAAAGAAATCCAAGATCTAAAATATGCAATAGATCAAGTGGACCTAGTAGATGTCTACAGAACATTTCATCCAACCTCTACACAATATACATTCTTCTCAGCAGCCCATGGAACCTTCTCCAAAATAGATCATATCCTAGGGCACAAAGCAAGCCTCAGCAAATATAAGAAAATAGAAATAATACCATGTGCATACTATCTGACACAATGCAGTAAAAGTAGAACTCAACAACAAAAGTAAAGACAAAAAACATGCAAACAGCTGGAAACTAAATAACTCATTACTTAATGAAGAATGGATCATCGATGCAATAAAAGAGGAAATTAAAAAGTTCCTGGAAGTCAATGAAAATGAAAACACAACCTACCGGAACCTATGGGACACAGCTAAGGCAGTCTTGAGAGGAAAGTTTATAGCCATGAGTGCATATATTAAAAAGATTGAAAGATCCCAAATCAATGACCTAATGATACATCTCAAACTCCTAGAAAAACAAGAACAAGCAAATCCCAAAACAAATAGAAGGAGAGAAATAATAAAAATAAGAGCTGAAATCAACGAAATAGAAACCAAAAAAACCATACAAAGAATGAAACAAAAAGTTGGTTCTTTGAAAAAATAAACAAGATCGATAGACCCCTGGCAAACCTGACTAAAATGAGGAGAGAAAAAACCCAAATTAGTAGAATAGGAATGCAAAAGGGGAGATAACAACAAACACCATGGAAGTCCAGGAAATCATCAGAGACTACTTTGAGAACCTATATTCAAATAAATTTGAAAATCTAAAAAATGGACAGATTTCTAGATACATATGATCATCCAAAACTGAAGCAAGAGGAAATTGATCACCTGAATAGACCTATAACACAAAATGAAATTGAAGCAGCAATCAAGAGTCTCCCCAAAAAGAAAAGTCCAGGACCTGATGGATCTCTGCTGAATTCTATCAGACTTTAAAGAAGAACTGATACCAACCCTCCTTAAACTGTTCCATGAAATAGAAAGGGAAGGAAAACTGCCAAACACATTTTATGAAGCCAGTATTACACTTATCCCAAAACCAGGCAAAGACACCTCCAAAAAGGAGAACTATAGGCCAATCTCCTTAATGAACATTGATGCAAAAATCCTCAACAAAATAATGGCAAACCGAATTCAGCAACACATCAAAAAGATTATTCACCACGACCAAGTAGGCTTCATCCCAGGGATGCAGGGGTGGTTCAACATACGAAAATCAATAAACGTAATAAACCACATTAACAGAAGCAAAGACAAAAACCACTTGATCATCTCAATAGATGCAGAAAAAGCCTTTGATAAGATCCAACATCATTTCATGATAAAAGCTCTAAGAAAACTAGGAATAGAAGGAAAGTTCCTCAACATTATAAAAGCTATATATGACAAACCTACAGCCAGCATTATACTTAACGGAGAAAAATTAAAACCATTCCCTCTAAAATCAGGAACCAGACAAGGATGCCCACTATCTCCACTCCTATTCAACATAGTACTGGAATTCCTAGCCAGAGCAATTAGGCAAGAAGAAGGAATAAAAGGAATACAAATAGGTAAAGAAACTGTCAAAATATCCCTATTTGCAGACGACATGATCCTATACCTTAAAGACCCAAAAAACTCTACTCAGAAGCTTCTAGACATCATCAATAGCTATAGCAAGGTAGCAGGATATAAAATCAACATAGAAAATCATTAGCATTTCTATACACTAATAATGAGCAAACTGAAAAAGAATGTATGAAAACAATTCCATTTACAATAGCCTCAAAAAAAATCAAATACCTAGGTGTAAACCTAACAAAAGATGTGAAAGACCTCTACAAGGAAAACTATACACTTCTGAAGAAAGAGATTGAGGAAGACTATAGAAAGTGGAGAGATCTCCCATGCTCATGGATTGGTAGAATCAACATAGTAAAAATGTCGATACTCCCAAAGTAATCTACATGTTTAATGCAATTCCCATCAAAATTCCAATGACATTCATTAAAGAGATTGAAAAATCTACTGTTAAATTTATATGGAAACAAAGAGGCCACGAATAGCCAAGGCAATACTCAGTCAAAAGAACAATGCAGGAGGTATCACAATACCTGACTTCAAACTATATTACAAAGCAATAACAATAAAAACAGCATGGTACTGGCACAAAAACAGACATGAAGACCAGTGGAACAGAATAGAGGACCAGATATGAGCCACACAACTATAACAACTTATCTTTGACAAAGGAGCTAAAAATATACGATGGAGAAATAGCAGCCTCTTCAACAAAAACTGCTGGGAAAACTGCAAAAAAACTGACTAGATCCATGTATATCACCCTATACCAAGATTAACTCAAAATGGATCAAGGATCTTAATATCAGACCCCAAACTCTTAAGTTGATACAAGAAAGAGTAGGAAATACTCTGGAGTTAGTAGGTATAGGTAAGAACTTTCTCAATGAAACCCCAGCAGCACAGCAACTAAGAGATAGCATAGATAAATGGGACCTCATAAAACTAAAAAGCTTCTGTTCATCAAAAGAAATGGTCTCTAAACTGAAGAGAACACCCACAGAGTGGGAGAAAATATTTGCCAACTATACATCAGACAAAGGACTGATAACCAGAATATACAGGGAACTTAAAAAACTAAATTCTCCCAAAACTAATGAACCAATAAAGAAATGGGCAAGTGAACTAAACAGAACTTTCTCAAAAGAAGAAATTCAAATGGCCAGAAAACACATGAAAAAATGCTCACCATCTCTAGCAATAAAGGAAATGCAAATTAAAACCATGCTAAGATTCCACCTCACCCCTGTTAGAATAGCCATCATCAGCAACACCACCAACAACAGGTGCTGGTGAGGATGCGGGGAAAAAGGAACCCTCTTACACTGTTGGTGGGAATGTAGACTAGTACAACCACTCTGGAAAAAAATTGGAGGCTACTTAAAAAGCTGGACATCGATCTACCATTTGATCCAGCAATACCAGATCAAAAGTTCACAGTCTTTTGGATTGGCTGAAATTCTATGCTAACTTGGGGAAGGGTTTAAGATATGCAGCATGGAGGGCAATTTTCACAGGCAAAGGGGCTTAGCAAGAATCCTGAAGAAGAACCTGGAATGACAGACAATAAAATGACAGAACAGATAATTAAAATGGCAACACACACACTTTGATAGAAAAGACTGCTTTCTCGCAAAGTGATTTTTTGTTGTTGTTTGTTAACACACAGAATAACTATGTAGCCCAGGCTGGCCTTAAGCTTGTGTTCTTTCTCCCTGCACCTCCTGAATGCTGGGATTATAGTTAATTCATGTTTTTAACAGCATTTCCTGAGTATGATTTTATCTTTAAAATATTTTGAACCTTTACTATTGCTGGCACCAATGAGGAAAAGCATTCCCTTTTCCTCTTCCTTCTGCTTTTGTCAAGGATAAAGTTGGGTGCTAGTATGTGCTAAATACCTTAATACTTATATAACATTAATTTCTTTTTAAGATAAAGACAGAAGACATTATTATTATAAGAGTCTTGGATAGGCAGTGAGGGTTTTTTTTTTTTTTTGCTGTTGTTGGTATGGACTTTGAACTCAGGGCCTGCTAGGCAGATACCCTACCACTTGAGCCACACTTCGGCCCTGTGTTTGTTTTTGAACAAGGCTGCCTTGGAACTCTCTATAGCTCAGGCTAGCCTCAAGCTCACCATCTTTCTGCTCCTGCCTCACCTCCCCAGACAATGGTATTTAATCAGAATTTAAGAGTTTTGGATTTTGTGTATATGGGTCTCCCCGCCTCCTAATTTACTACTGTCCTATTTATAAAAACAATAAAAGGCAAATTTCTTTAGAAAAAAATGATTTAAGCAAAAGGGATTTCAATTATGTGTGTTTTAAATAAGAGCCTGGATAGTACAAAGAAGAGGTGGAAATCAGAACCATTAAGAGTAGGTAAACAAAGTGAAAAACATAAAAGCTTTCCTCCTCCATTTGTTATTGTTAATTTTTTCTTATGTAAAATATGCATTTAGGTATGTTAACATATAATTGCAGGTTTCCATGGATCTCAATAGTGCCAGCACTGTAGTTCTTCAGGTCTTAACTCAGGCCACCAGTCAGGATACTGCTGTTTTAAAACCAGCCGAGGAGCAATTGAAACAGTGGGAGACACAGCCAGGTTTCTATTCCGTATTGCTGGTAAGTTCTAAAATAATTTATTTTAAAATGAGACATGATTTTAATAATTGTATAAAAGTGTAGATTTAGTGGAGGTTTCCTTTAATGAAACTGGTCCAATGGCTGCCATTGTATTACCATTATATTAATTTAGGGCATGGCTTGTTGAGGGTGTTATGAAATATTTGTTGATGGATCAACATTTGGTATCTCTCCTTTCTACAGCAATTTAATTATATGTTTTGACAGAAGGAACTCATTTTCTTTGGTTATATTCTTTATGGGTTAATTAAAACTTTCATACTTTTACTGTTTAAAACATCCATTCTGTGTAAATAATTGAACAGGGTATTCATAGTGTCTGCTCAGAAGGCACCCACTGTGATGAGTTTTTCAAGTTTAGCACATTCATGCTGACATCAGGATTATAGGTTGTATACTTTCATATTGTGTCTTCATCTCTCTCAGAACTTATATTGCTCCATTCTCCATATTGTAGCATCAGGTTTAGGAATATCATGCACAGTGTTTTCACTTTTTCCTTTTTTCCAGTGCTGGAGATCAAACACAAGGCCTAGTGCATGCTAGGCAAGCACTCACCACTGAGCTACCCCATAACCCCATATTTCACTTTAATCATTATATTTCCTTTTCTCACCTAGAAATTTCATTTTCTTGACACATCTGATCTTCTCCTGGGTGTAATGGGAAGTAATAACTTAATTAGCAATATGTGCTTTAACTAAACCTTGGTGTTTAAAAGGTTTTGGTTAATCAAAATTGCTTTTTCAATGACAGAATAAAAGAAGTTGTTTTTTTTTTTTTAAGTTTTAGCAAGGACTTATTTTAGTATAACAGGATAAAATATAGATAAGGGGAGAGATAAAGTATAGATAAAGGTGGAGAGAAAAGACTCCAAAGAAGTGTTTTTGTGTTGAAGGTGGTCCCTATTATTTCTTCTGAAAAATTTAGAACTTTGATGATTGGCAGTTGGATTCTTGTCAAGGCAATGACCAGTGGACCAAAAAACTAACCTAGTATTTGTGACTGGGTCACAAATTCAGAGCAAAATTATTTACCATATCTTACAAAATAGAATAATATAGCATCTGACATTCATGTTTTGACTTTTTGGCCAAAATGTTTGAATTATTTGTTAAATTTAAGAAGATACTGATCATGACTATGGGAGAAGTTAAATGTTTACAGTCATACTTATTGAAAGTTGACTATTAGGCTTAGTAACAAGAAGGTAATAAATAGGTTGACTTTTAAATGACACTGCAGAAAATGTCATTACTCTTACTTCATTATCCCAGCATCATGTTTATAAATTTGGGGCATAAAATTTCCTTTAGAAAATTCTGAATACCTTTTCTCTCCATATTTTTATTTTAGTGGATATGCTCTGTAGTTAGCCCTGTGATTTTTCAGGTCAAAATATGATTCTTTTGGAACTACTTAATTTGGGTCATTAAAACTAATAGGCGTTTTTAATTGTTTATTTTTTGTGTAATGTATGAGTTAACAAAATTAACTGTCTTTTTTCCTATATTTTATTATGTCTTTGTTTTGGGACGCCTAAAACAACATATTAATATTAATATTAAAACATATTAATAAGTTAATATGTTTTTATAAAGTATGTTTATGAAGAATATATGTTTTTGAGCTTGTTCATGTAGACATTTATATAAAATACTGCATACATGTCTTATCTTCAACTGAGTATGGTGAGGCACCCCAGACAGGCAGATGGAGTCTGCCTTATATACATCTATTTGTATGTATACACACACGTACACATATCTTTCTTTATGTAGATACCAAACAAGGCTGGTTTTATTGAGACCGTAGGAGTCTCAGTTTACCAAGAAAGACCTTACAAACATCTGGGAAACCTGTTGCAGGGTGTAAGGGACTGATGGCCTGATGTCCCTTACCTCAAACTGCCTAAATTTTTTCTGTTTTTATTTATACTAGCTGTAATTTTCTTTTGAGATTCTTTTAGAAGAAATAGATATTAAGAATAGGTTAGAAAGCTGCTGCGTTTGAGTGTCTTGCCACTTTTAATCTATTTTAGCCCATTCTAGTCTGGGGATTCCCAAGTTTATACAAATGTCAGGTTAGTGCTCCAAACGGTTTCTACTTGGATTGGCTTCTGTAGCTGAGACTGACTGACTGAAACCCCACCAACTTTCACAGTATTCCTGATTGTTTCCGTTCAGTCACTCTTTTGCTTATAGATATTTATGAAGTTCCTGCTGTGGCTGGCACTGTAGATTCCAGGCATAAGACAAGACTCAGTCTAGTGTGGAAGGTAGATGTGTGAAGTGTCAAGATTAAATATGGTTAATGTGGTGAAAGATGTGCATTTTTTTTTTTTAAATAATGGAGATCCATCAAGGGGAACTCTAACTCAGTTGTCAGGGGTCTTAAGGAGTAAGTAGTAAGTATACATTTTTTTCTTTGTAATTTTTATACATATACAAATTTTCTAAAAGTGAGATTGTTGTGTATGTACTTGTTTTTTAATACTAAACACATACATATTATTTTCATAGCAAAAAACTTACTTCCATATTATTTTTGGCTTTAGGACTTTTCCACAGAAGCTTGAATTTAAGAGATAATATCTGGGAATTTGAGTTCATTCTGGTTTGAGGTGTAGTGCAGGTAGTCAGCATCTCCTGAGTACCTAACACATTCTACATTTATTCTATGCATCAACTATTCTAGATAAGTTTTTTTTTTTTCGGAATTTTTAAAATTATAACGTCAATATTAATTTTACTATTTTCATTTCCCTGTACATTTAGAGCTGATACTAAGGGTGTTTTATTGTTTTGATTAACATTTTTAAAAGTCATGGAAAGATTCCAATTTCCTCATTTGCATGGTTTAGCTTACATTGCTACTTTTATTGTGTCCCCCTACTGTACAAAGCAGGGATTACATGGATTATTATTTGGATTAACCAGGTAGATAAATTTTTTGAGTAATGGCTGATTTTGAGTTGAAGATAATCACATCACTCCTGGCTTTATATCACTTAAAAGTACTATCAAACTTATTTGTAAGTATGATTGTTTTGGGTGAAGAGTGTGTTACTGTTGACTAGATTGTTTATTTCTTAGCATGTATGAACTGAAAGTTTTTCAGTCATTAGAATCTTTAAATCTATGCTGTGGTATATCTACTTTTTCTTTTTTAATTTATGGGGTATTTTATTGTTTGTGTGTGATTATATTTCTTTTTTCTTCATTTAATTTTTTATTAGGGAAAAATGTGAAACACACCTATAAGTAGAATAGCATAGTGAATCTTCCACATGTGTTTTAATTATTTAGCTTGTACAATGAACATGCTACTGAGTAGGATAGGCTACTAAGTAGGCATGTTTTCTTTCTTTCTTTTTTTCTTTTTTTTAAATGGCAGGGACCACTATGTAGTCCAGGTGGGCCTTGAACTTGTAATGTATCTGCCTCAGCCTCCTGAGTGTTGGGCTTACAGGTATAGGACTACACCTGGCTGAGTAGGTGTGCTTTCTGTATGAATTGTAGAAATATATGTATTTAGGAAATATCAGTTTGGAATGTAGTGCTGAAATTTAAAAAAATTAATTAAAATCTATCCAATGCTTGTGGTGATTATTTATTGATTTATTTTTGTCAGTATTGGGGTTCGAACTCAGAGCCTTGGGCTAGCCAAGCAGGTGCTCTACTACTTGAGCCATGCTTACAGCCCTGTTGGGTGTATATTAATTATACTTTAAAATTCTTACATGCTAATTCTAATACATTTTTATCCACAGAATATTTTCACCAACCACACTCTTGATATAAATGTAAGGTGGCTTGCTGTGCTGTACTTTAAGCATGGGATTGATCGTTATTGGAGACGTGCAGCACCTCAGTAAGTTCATCAGTTCCTCATTGTAATCGTTTCCAAATTCAAGAAGGGTGAGAACGTACATGCTTATGCAAAAGAATTTGTTAGTGTTTATTTATTCGCATATATACTAAAATTGGAAGAATACAGAGAAGATTAGCATGGTCTTTGGAATTTTGCACAGCATATGGTACTTAAAAGGAAAAAACCAAAATAAAACAAGTGTGTTAGCTGATGAAAAAGAAAAATATTCCACATAGTTAACAACCATTATCATTGCTTTTCTCCATGGGTTTTATTTCTCTGTATGTATGTGTGTGGTATGTGGTGTAATCTTTTTGGTCTTCTGCTTGTAAAGATCATTTTGCATATATGAGTTATATTGAACTCTTGTAAAGAAGTAAAATGTTTCGGATTTGTACAAAACCTATCTAGAAGGAAGCATATTATTTCTGAAGCAGTCGAATATTCCTATGTCTTGCAGTTTTTACCTCTGTGGTAGGAGTCTCATTAGAGTTAGTTGCAACTGCAATGTAGAGGTTAAGTGAGCAAATATACCTTGATAGTTAATTGTATGTGGGGTTTTTTTTGGTGGGGGGAGGGTAGGAGTGGTATTGGTGTTGGAACTCAGGACTTCGTGCTTGCAGAGGATGTGCTGTACCACTTGAGCTACACCTCCAATCTCAATTTCATGTTTTATAATTGATGGAAAGGTAATGTAGACATAACCCTGGAATTTATCTGATAGAAAATAATGAACTTTGCTGAGTAAATAACATAATTTTTGCTGTCTTATAGATGGCAATATAACTCTGTACATTTTTATATTTATTAACCCTTTTTTAAAAAACTGAGTTTTTCAAAGTACAAATAACAGGCCCTTGAATAATATGGGAAGCAAGTAAAGTACTTTTAGGCTACACTTTTGGTAATACTGTGGTATAAAGTAAACCCTTATCTTATTTTAAGAATAGTTCATAATATTGCAGAGAAATGAAGCAGTTAGTGACGAGAAATCGTACATTATTGAGATATAAATAATGGTCCAGCGGCATCTACTTTTCTAATGCTCTGGTCCAATTAAATTTTACATGGCTTCTCTAATAAGTCATTTTGTTTTATTGGTTATAATGATAATATAGTTGTAATAGCTGAAAGAAAGTGTAAATTATGATTAAATACTACAGGATTTTTAAAGCTTTTTTAAGCTAAATTAATTTTTTGTAAGCACCTGTTTTTACATCAATAAAAGTGAATATCAAACTATTGATATTAATTACCCTAGATTTGTCTTATTTTCTGTTGCTTACTGTGCTATGCTTATTTGTGAAGAAGCTATGCTTCTCACTAGCTCAGTTGCCAGTATTCAGTTAATGGAAGTGCTTTTTCCCCAAAAACAAACAGGCTCACATGTTTAAAGGCTTTTCATTGTTTAAATTCATAGTAATGCTGGTATGTGTTCACTATTAGGTGGGAGTATAATAAATTTGTCTTTTTGTAGTGCTCTTTCAGAGGAGGAAAAATGTACATTGCGGGCAGGGCTCATCACCAACTTCAATGAACCTATAAGCCAGGTTTGTGACAAAATGCTCATTATTCCTTCTCTTGAATTTTGCTGCTTTTCCAAATTAACTTTGTTTCATGGCATTAAAGATAAAATCTTACACTGGAGGTGTGGCTCAAGAGTAGAGTGCTTGCCTAGCAAGTACAAGGCCATGAGTTCAAACCCCAGTACTGCAAACAAACAAATTTCATTACTTACATTTGTAATGATTATGTACAGCTTCTCTGCTGGTCTTTAAATTTGGAGATCCAGTTACAGGTTTAAGAATTTGGTTAGATTTGGCTATTCATGACTTAAAATCTAGAAGTCATTTTACAGTGTATTTCTATACTTTGCAGCTTTCTCAGTTTTTGAGCTAGTGTTTCCAGCACATCTTTAAATAATTGTAGTCTTACTGCATAGAAATTAATTTTATTTAAACAGGAAAAAGAACACAATTTATTACATGATTGAAGTATGGGAGTATGAAACTCCTAAATTTATTTTTGGTGATTTAATTTGTGTACTCTCTCCTCCTTGAAAACCAAGGATAGCTTCAGGTTTTTGTCTGTTTCCTGCATCTATTACATTTTTAATTCCCACTACTCTGTGACAAATAGATCATAAATGATATGGTTTTATTTTTTTCTTTTCCTGATTGTGAATTTCCTTCTAAGAATGAATTGTTTTGCTTATAGATTTAAAACTTCTTAAATATTTCCAAGTGATATTATTTATTATACTTGATTTAAAAATGTGAATATTAAAGCACACTGTATTTGATAGTATTTCTGATGTAGTTTTATCTTGATCCTTTTAAATGATTTCAGCTCTCTGATTTGTAATTCCTTGACAAAGATAAAGGAGACTGGAGTTGGTCTCAGTAGGCAGGAGCTGGTTGCAGAGGGCTTTGGGTGGTTTAGAGATAAATCACTGCATATGTGTTCTGTCAGCCAGTATTTCAGAAATACCGATCTATAGAATATCATAATTTATATAACTACTATTTGGTGATCATTTTTACACTTAGGGCAATGGTTCTTTTTTTTTCTTGGCAGTACTGGGGTTTGAATTTGAATTCAGGGCTCATGTTTGCTGGGTAGGTTCTTTACCACTTGAACCACATCCTCATCCCCTGGGTAGTGGTTTTTAAACTTGGAAACTGCAGAATCTCTTCATAATACTAAAGTTAAAGAGCTCATAAGTGGTATTTGTGATATTTACTGTATTAGAAATTAAAGCTGAGAATGTAAAGGTGTCAATTAATTTTAAAATAATTAAACCAGATGTAAGAGCATTTTTTTAAATGAGCAGTAGCATTTCCCAAAGCAATAAAAATTTAGTGAGAAGAGTGACATTGTTTTACATTTTTGCTTACATTTAATGTCTGGATAGTTAAAAGAGACATAGATTCTCATATTTGCTTTATTTTACTCTACTCTTGCAATAATTCTTTTTTTTTTTTTTTTTTTGGTGGTTCTAGGTTATTGAAGTCAGGGCCTCATGCTTGCTAGGTCATTCTGCTAGCCCTTTTGTGATAATTCTTTTGGTGGAAGTTGTATAAAGAAACCTTAGCTTTACATTGACGTGTAATTGGAAAAGGGACATTATAGACTCCTAAAAGGGTTCTAGAAGTCCATTGGCCAGTGTCTTAATAGTTCAGTGTAATTTTAATCAATTTTTGTCAAATATATACTTAGCTAAAAAGGTGATTTTGAAAGTAGGAATGCATTTCTTGTCCATTGCCTTGATTTCACATGTTTATTTCTGATGATTAATTTTTTTTTCTGTAGATTGCAACTCAGATTGCAGTACTGATTGCAAAAGTCGCTCGGTTGGATTGTCCTAGACAATGGCCTGAACTGATTCCCACTCTTATAGAGTCCGTTAAAGTCCAAGATGATCTTCGACAGCACAGAGCATTACTTACCTTCTATCATGTTACCAAGACACTGGCATCTAAACAACTGGCTGCTGATAGAAAACTGTTTCATGATGTAAGTTCTTCACATAGTTAAACTCGATTGTGAAAATTGTGCTATTTACATGAAAATGAATAAGCTTTATTGCTCTGTTAATATTTCGTTGAAGTATTGTGAAGACGTTGTAATTTTTAACTACAGTAACATGAAAGATCATTTTTGAGATAGGAACTTATCTTGTAACTTAGACTGGTCTCAAACCCGAGATCCTGTTGGCTTAGCTTTCCATCACTAAGGCAGATGGTGCAGTGATGCACTATTGCTTAAGCCAGGATCACATTTCATTCTCTTTATTTTTAATTCAATGGATTTAAAAGGCCAATCTTATGTTCATCTGAGGAAGTTGCATACAAGAGGAATTCTTTTTGATGCTCATAAGGTTATTTTTCAGTTCCTTGTCACTTTTGCTTGATTTCTAGCCAAGACTGAAGAGGTGGACATTTGATCTGCTCAAGTCTTTCTATGAATTGCTTTATGATTTTTTTTTCCTCACCTTTATCCCTACTTCAAACACTTCTACCTTGGGATCTTAGTTTTATGTAGGCAAGATTCCCAAAGTCAATCATCCAGAAGATTCTGGGTTGCAGTTAGCTCTTTATTATAAAGTCTGAATTCTTATTTTGGATTTCTCAAGATACACTCTCCTAATTTGTGTTGTTTGGTTTTCTGGTATAATTTATAGTTTGCCAAACTACAAATTGTGGTCCAGTCAGGGTCCTTATTCAGGATAAATTGAGTGGATTAACTTCTTGCTTGGTGTTCTTGTGTGATTCTAGTTCCTTTCCATACAGAATGAAATATGGGTCTGCCTAGCATCTGGTACTTATACTTCAAGGGGAGTATTTATGGCATTGTGCTGAGTTATAATTATTGATTTACTTTTATAGATTACTACACTAAAACTTTTATAACTAGCTAGTAAAGAAAAGCACACATGACGGTTGGTGTTAAATAACTGTTTGTAAAATGAATAATCAGGCTAGTGGTATAGCCCAGTGTTAGAGTGTTTGGTTGCCTAATATGTGCAAGGCCATGGGTTTCATTCCCAGTACTGCAAAACCAAAACAAACAAAAAAACCCAAGAATAAGTAATGGGACACATGTTCTTAGATACTTGCTAGATTTCCGAGTGTTACAGTGTGAAACTTAAAAAAAAGAAAAAAGAGGATATTTTAGAGATTATATAGAACTAAAAATACCTCGAAAGACATTTGGAATACTTCCTGCCATTTTGGAATGTAGTAGCTGAATCTGGAAACTTAGACTATATATAGTAGGCGCTAGGAAGCAGGTCTTGCCTAATGGGTTTGAGGTACAAAATGTGTGGTTCAATTGAAGGTAGCATATGTGGGAAGACTACTGTACAGAGCAATTTTGCTGGTTAAAGTTGTTCCTACTATTTTGGTAATCTGAGATATAGAAAATCTTCCTTTTAAAATGTTTACTTATAATACCAAGATGTTCTTAAAGTACCAAATTAATTTCCCACCATCAAAGTATAAGCTCATAGTTGAGTTAGTTGCTATGAGTAGTGCAGGATATACTTAAAACTACCTGCTGCCGAGTGTGTCCCAAATGTTTTTATATTGTTTCTCCCCTCCATATTAAAATAGATTAAGTTTTTTGAGGGGGTGGCAAATTACAAAATGAATAGTTGAGCAAATTGTTTTCCAGTATCAAAATTGAGCTTGATTTGACACAAAAGTTTATTTTCTATAGAACAGTGTCTCTCCATCCAAACTTGAATATTAAAAAAGTTGATATTAATTAACTTCAGTTAGAATCAACCTTCTAGTCTGCTGAAGGCAAGGAAATTTAAGGTACAAATAGTAATTCTAATATAATTTTATGTTTATTAACTAAGTAATATCTCATAATCATAATGTGTAATCTATAGAGGTATATGTTGTGGGAAATGAAGTAATCTAACCCTAAAAAAGATGAAAAGATCTTTTGAAACTACATGTCACTTATTTTTAGAAATAAGGGTGAGTAACAAGAAGATCTGTTTTCTAGGGAAGAACGAACAAGAAGAGACTTCTGTGATTCTTTAAAAATTTCCTTTCAGTTCTAGGGTTATTTGATTCTGTGAATTTATGATCTTATTCATCTAGGTTAATCTGTTTAAGCATCATTAAAGTTTTAATGGTGGAGACACTGGCACATGTGTATAGTCCCTGCTACTTAGGAGGTTGAGGCAGGATCACTTGAGCCTAGAAATTCAACTACAACCTGGGCAAGACTGTGTTTCAAAACAAAAGCAAAAGTTTTGAAGTGGAAATATTAGTAATAACATAATTTAAATGTGGATGTGTGTGTTTACTTTTTATTTCTTTTTGCAGTATTGGGATTGAATCCATGGCCTTGGGCATTCTAGGCAAGTACTGTATTACTAAGCTCCTTCACTAAAACAAAACAAAAACAAAAAAAAAAAACCAAACAAACAAAAAACCTTTATATTTTAGGATAGCTTTAGCTTCACAGTCATACTGAGTAGAAGGAACAGACATTTCTCAAAAA